AGCAAATTATGATGCAGCACCTTTAGGTTTGAAATTGACATCACTCCGCCTAAATCCCAACCCCTTTTAGGCTTCATTTGAATATGCTTTCTTGGGATATGCTTTCCTGGAATGTGTTGGGTGTGCCAAGCAGTTAGATCCAGTTTTTATCGCTAAGGCTGAACCCTGAGAAAAAAACTGTTAGGCCAGCTAATCTCACAGCTACAGTTTTGCCTATGGGGCTCAGTTAGTTCCATGAACAGTTAAGTTATCATTTTGGTTAAACTTATGACCGACAAGTTACATTTGCAGTTTACAAGCTTACAAGCTTTGTATTAACTAATATTACCTGTTTAGGCAAAATACCAAATGCCTCCAAGAAGCACATATTTATTGCTTATTAATCCCTCTGGTTCTGGCTGTTACACACGACTGATGGAAGGAGGTAGTCCTCAGAGCTGTCAATCCAGTTCCATTCAAGTGTGCCCAATTCTATTTTGAGAAATTAAAGTAGCTGTGAGAGAATCATGGGAAAGCAGGTGTTGAATGGTATTAAAGCTGGATGGAAATGTGCATGTTAAAGTAAGATTTCAGCCCCTGTTCCTCACAGTGCTGTTAATCACTACGGCTGTGATTTGTAGAGAGAGAGGTATTTATGCTAAGGTTTAAAAATCCTTTTATGTTCACTCTGATTTTTTGGGGGAGAGGGGTTTGCTATCATTTGAATAAATTACCTCTATCTTTTCATCTAGCTGTAATCAGACACATAGACAAACATATGGTTCAGTTAAAACACTGGGGACCAAATTCATCTTTGCTGTTAACTCTAGGGCTGATCAAGCTTACAGCAGTCATGGATTTAGTCTAATTGGAACCTTTCTGTCTTCACTACTTTGTGCTAATTAGAAAATACTGAATGTGAGAAGCTGGGCAAATGCTCCAGTTAAGTAAACAGCTCACAGATTGATATGGTAACAATGGCATCTCTCATCTGTTTCCAGGAAAGACTACTCGGGGGAGTACACAATCTACTTAATCCCTTGTACTGTGCAGCCCACACAGCCATGGGTTGACCCAGGAGACAAGCCATTGGCCTGCACTGCTCATGCTCCAGAAAGGTAAGGAGATGCACTGTTCTCTCGTTTCTTTGGGTGCTCCAATTTTATGGCTGGAATTTTCAGAATGTTTATAAACACGTTCACTTCAAGAGCATGTAATTAATTGCTAGTTTGAGGTTGGAGATGAAGAGCCTTCCAGTAAAAAAAACCCCTATGTGGGTAGATGCAGGAATGAGGTGCTCTCAAACTGAGATGTGAATGTAGTCAGGGCGTATGTATTTTTGGGGGATTCAGTGAAGCCATTCATACACATGCAGTATGGATTCTGTGCAATATATTGCCTTAGTGGAATCATTGTATAGATACCACAAGCTGAAATGGCTTAGATCCCAGCATGCCCTTTGTGTTGGCTGCACAACAATGCATTTGCTAACTTGGATTGTTTCCACAAAGGCAACAGGTATTTGGCACAAGCTATGGCAGCAGCAGAAAGGACAAAAGAAAGGAAACTATTAGCTTTGGAATCTGTTAGTGATTGCAGTTACCCTCCTTCAAGACAGTAAAACAGGGCTTCCTTAATGTTAAAGCTATACACATGGGCAACTGGTGCTGCCTTAGTCGGGGGGGGCACATGCCCCCCTCAGCGACCAGTCAGCAACAGGGGGTGGAGGGGGAAATACCCCCACAGCCAATCGTGCCAATCTGGAAGCAGCCGAGGTGCTCCTGGAAGTGGCTGCAGTGCGCCTGGAAGTGGCCACGGTGCACCCACTCCCTGGCCAGTGCTCGCAGGGGGGGACACCTGTCTGCCCTCCCTACCCATTGCCTGGGTGAGGAGCACGGCCTTTTGGGAGGGGTGCATGGCGCTCTCAGGGGGTGCATGTGCACACCTGTGCACCCCTTACATGTCGCCAGTGGCTATACAGTTACTTGAGCAGTTTATAACCAGTTATAATGGCAGGCTTTATGACTTCTGAGCACCAGAGGCACACATGTCTACCAGAGGTGGTCAGAAAAATGAGAGAAAGTATGGTATCTCTTTCTTTCTTTTTGCTTCTGTCAGTGATCATCTCTGCAGTTACGTAGAGCCTAACTGCTGAGGATATCAAAGGCCAGTTGAAGTCACAGGGAGTTGCAGGTGCACAGGAACTGCAAAGATCCAGGCCCATGCTGTTCTCCTCTCCTTTTACGGAGACATTCCACCCTCCCCTACCAGACCCACATATACTACCTCAGTAACTGGATGTCATGTAGGAGACTAAGAATGGATGGATATGGAAGATAAGGATGGGTGGGGGTGGGGATGTCTTAATTTGGGCTCCTCTTTGATTAATTGCTACTTGGAATGCTTCTCATGGTCCCTCCCTTTGCCTGACTGGAGCTATCAAACACATGCTGGTTCAGTCAGTTTTAGTTCCATGGCCTGCATACAGTCCAGAATTTCCTATTTCAGAACAAATCTACCTGCATCTCCCTACCCCATGCATTAGACCTTAAATCAGGTGCGTCATACTCACCTTGGTCCCCAGGCTGGATCTGAGGAGCCAGCAGGGACTGCAGCAGAGCTGCATTTAGGCAGCAGCATGGGTCCAGGGCAGAGCAGCAGCGTAGGTCCGGGGGCGGGGATTGCATTTGGGCAGCAGTGTGGGACCAGGCAACAGGTGAAGTTGGTCCATATGTCAGGCCATATGTTTGACACCCCTGCCTTAAATAGTGAGCACTTGCCTTCCTCAGCTCAGATGAATTCACTCTTGATGCACAGGCCTTGTCAGTGTAACAGGGAACCCTAGCCCTGTTACCAGAAGGCAGGTCAGCCCCTTTAAAGCCAGAACTTTCTGGGCACAGCATGCTGGTAAGGGGGGGTGTTAAAAACTGAGCCTGGCCTGCTAGTCAGCTGACCAGAAGGGGGCAGGCCAGGACTATAAAAACCCTGAGCTGGGCGGCAGCAGGGGCCAGCAGCCAAAGGGGAAGGAGTTCCCTGGAGAGACTTGGAGAGCGGTCCAGTGGCTGCAGGAGGGGGAGCTACCGAGGACTCCCAGAGAAGCGGCAGCAACCCACAGAAGAAGGACTGTAGCAGACGGTGGGACAGCAGAAGCATGAAGCCCTGAGAAACCATAAGCTGGCATGCTGCCTTCTTTAATCACATTGTCTTGGTGGTGTTTATAGCCTATGGACAGGACTGTTCTCGGAGACTGGTGCCTCCTGAGTCTGGGGGGGCACCCAGGGTCCCCCCGCAGCCAAATGCTGAGCTAGGGGAGGGGGGTGTCCCGACGCACTCCGCGGCAGAGCTAGAAATGGACCAGAAGTACTATGAGCGCACATGGGACGCGCCCCCCCACTGCGTTCCCATGGGATGCTCCATCCACTCCACCATCTCAGTGTTCACGAGTCATGCCTGGTACCTCAAGATACATAGACACAGCTTTAGATGTTTTTTCTATGGCTAAATAGCTGATTCTCCGAATCAGAATCGAATCTTCAGATTCAGCCAAGTTGAATCAGAACAGTGATCTGAATCAGCAAATCGAATCACTGTCCCCCGAATCAGGCTGAATCTGAATCGAATGCTGCCTGCTTTGCATACCCCTACTGACTGGGTATAACAGCAAGTTGAGTTCTTTCGAAGGCCATCCTTTCCCAGGAGGTGCTGCAGTCTGGCAACAGCACAGATCTGGGGGGCTGCTGCTAATGGCCATATCCTTTGGGATCCAGGGACTCTGAATTCTGTGGTGGACTGTCCCCCCCAACTTCCAGAGAGTTTTCCAGAGAAACATTTTCCAGAGAAAATGCTAAGTCACTGTAGCCAGTCGGGAGTTAGGAACCAAAGGTGAGGCTACCAGAGATTTTGAAGGCTGAGCACATCCTTAAAGAGGACAAGTACAATTCCTAGTGTGGAGGCCAATGCAAAGTTGCATCATAACAGTGGAGAGCACATTCCTTTCCCATGTGAGAGTAAACTATACTAGTTAAGCACCTCTATACCAATTCAGTGGGACTCACCCTAGGGATATGTGTGCTGTTTTAATTATACCAGTATGCTTAAGGTTGCAAATGAGACAGAGCTGACTTGTCAAGGAAATGCTAGGATCAGCCTGGTTTGAGAGTCTGGCCATGGGCAACTGGTGCCATCTGAGTCAGGGGTGGCATGTGCACCCCAGAAGCCAGTCAGCAACCAGGTGTGGGGAGTCCCCCACGGCCGATCACACTGAACGGGAAGCAGCCACAGCACTCCTGGAAGTGCCAGTGGTGCTTCACCTGGTGCCTCCACTCCCTGGCCGGCACTCGCGGGGGGGGCACCAGTGCTGCCCATCGCCTAAGTGGGGAGCGTGGCCTGTCAGGGGGTGCACCAGCGCCACTGAGTCTAGCCAAAGCTTTGTACTTGAGGTAATGTTATCTGAGTGACCCATACTGTGCATAGATTAGCTTAATAATAAGCCCTGTCCTGACTCCTCAGGAGACCTGCTAGACTCTACACTAAATGACGACTTCCAACAAGATAGCAACATGGTTTGAAACATTTCACATCTGGTAAAAGAACCCCCCCCCAGCTCTCCCAAGTTCACATTCTCCCACATTATGAAAAAGGCAGGGATTGGATGTAGTATCCATGAGTAGACAAAGCACTGCCCTGAATGGTGGCAACTTGGCTCTTATCCTGGTTGTGCCACTGACTTGCTATGAGATCCTGGCAACGTAACTTTTGTCTGCCTGTGTCTCCCTTACTACTCAGCCTTTGTCTGTCTTGCCTTTTACACTGCATACTTTGTCAAACAAGCTTTAAATAAAGTGCCCCTGCTGACATTTTGAAGTGCAGGGATGCTGACGAAATGCAGGAGGCTGCTGGAGCATGGCAATTGCCATGCTCCAGTAGGTTCCATTAATTGAGTCTGCTCTGACACACTGGAATTTCAGTGCATCAGAGCAGCCCCCTGCTCGTGTATATGCACCATGAAGCCTAGCATAATGAGGACACCAATATGGTGGGCTAGTGTCTCTAGTTTCTGTTGGAATACAGAGGATAATAGCCATGGAGTAAATGTAAACCTTTCTGGTGATGCACAGTTTTTAAAATCTCTAAACTCCAACACTCTCTTCTTCCTTTTTTCTTTTTGTCCACCCCACTTTAGATTTTTGATCCCAATTGCTTTCCAGCAAACAAACCGCCCAGTTCCTGTTGTCTACTCCCTGAACACAGAGTTTCAGCTTTGTAATAATGAGAGAGTGTTTTTGATGGATCCCACCAAATCTGAGATATCTTTGACAGAAATGGATTACAAAGGAGCCTTTTCAAAAGGTAAAGTTTTTCCCTTTCCTTTGTTAGTTTACTTTTACTTCAAGTTTCTGGCTACACAGCCTTAGCTCCTGGGTAAGAGAAATGATGTGATAAAATGCAGGTTGCTATGCCTCAATGAGCAGTATTTTGACCACATTGCAGGATTATGTTCCAGCCCAGTAACATGATGACCACAAAACAGTTCTGTATCAGGATCATAACACACTAAGCATGGCTAAACCATGTATAATACCTTTCACTAAACTGGTACATTTGGCTCTGAAAACAGCCTTTTGCCTTTCTGCGTGTCTCCCATTTCTTGCCTATCATTCTTTTCACCATCCTTAGGTCAGATCCTGTATGGCCGTGTGCTTTGGAATCCAGAACAAAACCTCAATGCAGCTTACAAACTGCAGCTGGAAAAAGTCTATCTCTGTACTGGCAAGGATGGTTATGTGCCTTTCTTTGACCCAACGGGAACAATCTATAACGAAGGGCCACAGTATGGCTGTATTCAACCCAACAAGCACCTAAAGCACAGATTTCTTCTCCTGGTATGTTTTATAGAGTGGGCAGAATTGTGACAGCCATGGAGCTCTGTGTGATTACGTCAGGCAGAATCTGGTACTGTGTCTGTTAAATTATGATGGACCAATGACAGGGACATTTTATGCTTCTCATATTTTCTTTGTTTTGGTAAAGAGTCAGGGAAACTCAGTGAGAGAAAATAAATCTCAAAGATGTGGTTTCAATCACAAAAGTACTGAATGGACAGAGAGACTAAACTATTTTCTTATTCTGGGAGGTGGGCTATGTTGTTAAGAGTCTAGAGATGACAAAGTGAATTTTGCGTGGGAGGATGTAGCTAAATTGCCAAGCCCAAGACACAGACCTGCATGATTTTCAGTGCAGGGTCAAGGCCTGTGTTCACTCTGACCTTTGTGGTCAGAAGCCCTGATGATGTCCTTTGGAGTAGGTCCCTCCCAGTCCACATCAGTGAAGGAATTAAGGGTTGTGACTAGGTCTTTACAGGAGTGAGGGAAGCCAAAGAGAAAACACAGAGAGCAGTGGGACTCTAGCAGGAGCTCAGAATCCTCTCTGCAGTGAATCCTGCACTTGGATTTGTTTGTGAATAAAGCTTCAGGTGCTACAGTTGGATCTTTCTCCTGAAAATATGAAAGGCAGTTTTACGAACAGGGAAACTCCTGTCTTTAAATAAATGTTTGACCCAAGAGGAAGTGGTGGCCTTTGATTTCATAGATTTCATAGACATCAGGGCTGGAAGGGACCTCGGAAGATCATCAAGTCCAGCCCCCCGCCCAAAGGGCAGGAAGTCAGCTGGGGTCATAGGATCCCAGCAAGATAAGCATCCAGTTTGCTCTTGAAGGTGTTCAATGAAGGCGCTTGAACCACCTCCGGTGGCAGGCTGTTCCAGACCTTGGGGGCTCGGACAGTAAAGAAGTTCTTCCTTATGTCCAGCCTGAAACGATCTTGAAGTAGTTTGTGACCATTCGACCTCGTCATCCCTTGGGGCGCTCTGGTGAACAAACGTTCCCCCAGATGCTGGTGGTCACCCTTGATAAACTTGTAGGTGGCCATCAGATCACCCCTGAGCCTGCGCTTTTTCAGGCTAAAGAGCCCCAGGGCTCTCAGCCTGTCATCGTAGGGTCTGCTTCCCTGACCTCTGATCATGCGCGTGGCTCTTCTCTGGACTCTCTCAAGCTTCTCCACATCCTTTTTGAATTGTGGAGCCCAAAACTGGACACAGTACTCCAGCTGCGGCCTCACTAAGGCCGAGTACAGGGGGAGAATGACGTCCCGGGATTTGCTTGAGAGCAAAAATAAAAATGTTTGTGCACTCCCTGCTCCTCCATTGCAGAAATCTATTTTAATCCGTTTTTAAAAACACACTTATTCTCTAAAGCAATTGGCTCCAAAATGTGGTACCTCTACTTTTGCTATTTACACACTCTCCTTTTTCATCCCTAAAGCTATTTCTTTCGGATTTGGGGGTTCCCAGTTCCTGTCATCTTGCTTTAGTTCAATCTATTCTAGATGGAGCTTTACCTGACGATTGCCTAAAAACGAGGCGCTGAACGCCGCTGCTTAGCGGCGTTCCTGTCAGAGAGTGCATTTTGCACGGGTTCTGTGATTTGGATTGACATACCACTTGTTTCTGTATAAATATGAACTCGCCATTTTCTCAACCTCCTGAAACCCTCAATATTTTGGATCTTGGAAATGGCCCGTCTCCTTATATGGTACTGGAGCAGCCGCTAAAGTTAGAGAGAGAGTTTTGCTAAAAGCTCTTTCCATTCTGGTGTTAGAAAGGAAAAAGGAGAATTGGCAATTGGGAAATTCAAGTGCAACTGCTTTCTCCGCTTGGTTCAGTAGAGGCAGAGTTGCTTGCTGGCATTCAGAACTCACTCTCTATTCTCCAAATAGTTTTGAAAAATAACAGGGTTCAGAAGGATGCCAAGGTGGGCTAAGTGGAGAAACGTGAATGTAGTGGGTAGGGTGCGTGAGAAAGTCTGTTACTAGAAATGGATTTACCCTGATCTTGCAAGCTGCTCTGCAAGGGGGGATTCCTGCCCTGCAGGAAATCAATGGGGTCTGTGGGATGGAAGGGACAACCCAGCTTTTGGCATATTTTCCATACTCTATGGACCCCTGGATTTGCAGTTTAGTACATCTACACAAACAGCCATCTATCTTATTCTCATCCTTCTAGAACCACATGAAGGCTGTCACTCCAGCTCATATGTTATTCAGAGTTAATTCAGTGTCTGCAATTTTAGTCACTATATATGGATAACTATAGGAAGCTGAGTGGGGCTCACTCCGCTACATACCAGCAGGGGTCCAATGTTGCCCCTGCTTTTCCTCCAGCTCCCCACATATCTGAAAAAGGACTTCTTATTGTCCTTGATGCTCAAAGCTAGCTGGAGTTCAGTTGCAGCCTTGGCTTTCCTGGTCTGCTCCCTACAGGACCGGACCAGTGCAGAATAATCTTCCTTGGAGGTGACTCCCATCCTCCACCCTTGATGTAGAAGAAGAGAGTGGGGCAGGGAGAGGTGAGGGTCAGCAGGGGAGGAAGAGGTATAAATGACATCATTACAAAATGCTCTGCTCATGTTACTTTCATGCTTCATAAATCATGAGCCAAAAAACTCATCTTTGAAAAATCTCTGCTTTTTCATGTTGCTCTTGATTGTTAGTACCATGTGTGTGACTGATTCACATTTTTTTAATCCTGTATTTATTTTCCCTAAATTTCAGGACCGAAACCAACCAGAAGTAACTGATAGGTACTTCCATGATGTACCTTTTGATGCTCACTTTGCCTCTGAATTGTCTGATTTCCACTCAGTGAGCAGCATGCCAGGAGTGGATGGATTTACTATGAAAGTGGATGCTCTCTACAAGGTGCCTGACATGAGATATACAGTACCACAGGGCGAGTTCTTTATTTAGGCCTAGGTCCTGTGTATAGACATGCTATTGCACATGTAGAAGTCAAACACATTCGGGCAAACCCTAAAGCTTATATAATTTTCTAGATAACTACAACCACCACTGTGGAGAAAGGCAACAAGGGCTTCCCAGTGCCAGAAATACTCCAACAATGCAGGGACCTATTTCTGAATTGGGATGCACTGGCACAGATCTTTATATCCATTCACAGGAGCTGGTTGCACCATGGTGTGCATTAGGTGGTCCTGTTATAGAAGGTTTCACATTATCTTAATGTAAAGCATGATTCTGGAATTCCAGCCTAAGGGACCCAGCATATATTTTACCAATGTGCTCAGTCCCTTTGACTTCACTGAAGTCAAGAGTTCAAAGTGCTTAGCACTATAAAGTTCAAAGCCATTCAGTTAAAAAGACAGAATCCCTAAGGACTAACTACACTCTTTTCAAACCCTAAATTACATGACACATGCAAGTAAGAGACAAACTCTAGCACAAAAAAATAGAGATCAGAAGTTAAGACCAGACTCCCTTCCCCGTCTGTCTTACAAAGCAGGTTTATCTGGCTGAACTTTCATGGGGCAGTGGTTTGCTTTAATTTCAAATTGTATTTTAACAATGATGTGCAGTTTGCCCTGGTGCTTAAAATATTTTTGAATAAGTTATTCAGTAATGTTAGTAATTATCAGATCTAGTCAAAACAGTAAACATCTGCAATACATCCATTTTTTTTTCAAAATGTAGTAAGAAGTTAAATGATTTTTTTTCTAATATTGAAAACTTTCAACCAAACCTTAGAAGTGGTTAAAAACTTGGAATTTGGGGGATCTTGAGTGGTTAAAAGTTTTGATCAAAAGGACAAAAAGTATTGATTATTAAAAATAATTGGAGCTGATGGAATATTTATTGTTACTAGAACTGAATAAGTCATTTAGCAGTGATCAAAACTTCAACAAAATTGACAATTTCCTGTGGAATTTTTGGTCAGCGTTAATTATATGACTACTGGCCACCAAATCATGTGTCATGGTGATTGCTGTCATCTTGACCAACACATGGGGATGCACTCATGATCTCCAGCAATGTAAATACGAACCAATAAAGTACAAGCTAAAGCTGTCTGTAAGAAAATTCTATTCCCTGTGGATTAAACACAAAGAAGGAGTTGTAAAACACTCACCACTGGGTAACAGTGTCACATGCCCACTGCCATCTGCTCTCAACAGAATTCTTGTGTCCCTTTAGCTGAATGCCAGGGTTAAGTCTCCTTTGTGTCTGTCTGTCTGCTCTTTCCTAAAGGTGGAAGCTGGACACCAGTGGTATCTCCAAGTGATCTACGTAATTGGCCCCGAGACTATTGCAGGGCCCCGTGTCCAACGTTCCCTCACTCACCGCCTGAAACGTGGGCGCAGGGACCTTGTAGATAACAACGGCAGGCTTATCCTGGATGACTCATTGATTTATGACAATGAAGGTGACCAAATCAAGAATGGCACCAACATGAAGTCATTGAGTCTGGAGGTACAGGAAGCAGTTGCAGCTGCCTCCTTCTCACAGACAGGTGCCTCCATAGGAACTGCTTTAGCTGCCATCATGCTGCTGCTGCTTGTGCTTCTGATAATTTGCTTCATAACCAGGAAATGTCAAAAGCAGCAGAAGAAGAAAAAGCCCACCAAAGATGTCACGGAGGAATATCCCCTGAACACCAAGATACAGGTGCCTAAGAAAAACCCAGAGAGGGTAGAGAAGAATGTAAACAGACAGTACTGCACTGTGAGGAATATCAATATACTAAGTGAAAATGAGGGTGCATACAAGATCAAAGGTGCAAAGGTCAAACAGGTGAACTTAGAGGTCAAAGTTCATAACAATCTACATGATGGAACAGAAGTTTAATGAAGTGCACATCTTTTTGTAAAAGCTTTTTATAAATTGTGAAAAATTGAAATCATAAACTGGTATTTTTATAATCTTGTGGAAAAAGGGAAGACTATAGCTTTGAGTGGTGGACAGCAATACATCCTCACAGGCTTCAACTCACAACTGAGCTACCTCATTAAAAGTAGAACAGTAAAACACCCAGGGCAGAAAAAATGGTATCTCTACCAACAAGTTTATTCAGTTTTAGGCTGCACAATGTTCATAGCAACATCCATAGCAGTCAGATATTTACCCAAATTTGAATAGTTCCTATATGAAGTCCACCAATCCTGAAATGGAGGGTTACAGGGGAATAGTGCAACAACCCTATATCAGACACAGTATTATAGGAAAGAAGCTTATTAAAGAATTGGAATCTATTATGTTCCACTCTGTACTGTTTTCCTTTTTGTACCTCCTCTCTTTTGTTGGACTGCATCAGACAGAACATGACAATTTTGACCAAGAATGCAGACATGCAGCCAGTACTGTAACTAATGTCGTTTCTTATTGATGGTTGATCTTTATGGAGGTAAAATGCTCTGAGAGGAGGTCACCTCATGCAGAGGGTGGCACTGTGCATCATTCGAACGGAGTGCTAGTGTGCTTGCAGCCTTCTGCACCTGAGTGACTGTCACTCTAAAAGAACAGTGAGAGAAGCCTTTACTGTTCTGTGGCCTAGAGGTCCACCATTGAATCTGGACCCGCTGAAATCAATGGGAAGTTAGCCACTGACTTCAGCAAGGCCAGGATTTCATCCTTTCCCCATTAGACCACCACATCCCTTTTCCAACTTTCTGAACTTTGCAACCCAAAGAATTGCATCCTTGCAAATATTGTAAAAAGGTTTTTGGAACTCACATCAACATGCGTAGGCACCAGCGTAGGGTTCATGAACGTCATCTTATTCCCAAAGGTATCAGGAGAAAAGTATGTTTTACTGAAGAACCACAACTTCAAACAGAGCAGGCCCAACCAGCCCAGAATGTGTATATAGCAAATACAGAGTTAGAAGAAGAAGGTGAAGCAGATGACGTATACATTATGGATACTTCCAGCAATATTTCTGAAAATGTAACTGTGTACAGCTGTTTAGAGATAAAATGGGCTTGTCAGAGCATCGCTTTTTGCTTCATGGGGTAGGAAATATCTTCGTTTGCTCAGTCTAATAGTAGCACTAGCAATTGTGATGTGATTGAGATGGAATCCAACTCTGCACAGTTATATGGATTAAATTGTTTAATTACTCCAGTCACAGTGGAAATTTCTCAAAATGTAAAGGTTACGCAGATGCATGTGAATGATCTTCCCAAGGAGCCCTCAAGCAGTGGAAGCAGTGAATTAAAAAAGAGAAGAACAGCTAGTCCTCCTCTTAACCAAAAATAAAAACAGAAGTAGATCCAGAACCTGTAATGCCATCAGGTTCATTAAATCTTCCTCTTAGCATTTCAACAGCTGAGAGTTTACCTTTTCACAAAGAAAAAAGTGTGTATTTGTCATCTAAATTAAAACAACTGCTTCAGACACAGGATGGTAATAAGATAACTCCATCAACTGAAATCCCTAAATTAGGACCTGCTGCATCTTCACCCATTTTGCCTCCAGTTTCTAGTAGGTTTAAGAGAAGAACCAGCCCTTCTCCTAGTTCTCCGCAGCACAGTCCAGCCCTTCGGGACTTTGGCAAACTGGGTGATGGGAAAACTGTGTGGAAGGATACAGTTCTAGGTTCAAAGATGCCAAAGTTAGAAAGCCACAGCAACTCGCCTGCATGGAGCTTGACTGGAAGGGAGGAAAAAGAATCCATGAGTCCTCTTTGCTTTGAAGACTACAAAATATCTAAGGAATGGGCAGGCCCTCCTACCTTTGGTAACGTGTGCAACCACCAGCCATCAGATTTGTCCAGTGGTGTCACCAAGAGCCCCCTTTCGGGGACTAAAATGTCTTTATACAAACGCCAGGAGTATGGGGAACAAGCAAGAGGAGCTCACACTCTTGCTTGCTAGCACCCAGTATGACCTAGTCAGACTAACCGAAACATGGTGGGATTCTACACACGACTGGGCAGTAGGCATTGAGGGGTATAGTTTGTATAGGTGCAGCAGAGTGGGGGAAAAAGGCAGGGGGGGTAGCACTCTATGTTAAGGAGCAGTATACGTCTTCCACCATCGAGGCGGGGGTGGAGGAGGGGAACACTGAGGCATTGTGGGTCAGGATCCAGGGGGGGCCAGGGGAAAAGGGTCTACTACAGGCCTCCTCAACAGGATCAAGAGCTAGACGATGTATTCTCTAGGCAGCTAGCAGACGCCACACAGGCGAGGGAGGCGGTGGTCATGGGAGATCTAAATTACCCAGATATCTGCTGGGAGGAGCAGACAGCCAAAACAAGCCGCTCATGGAGGTTCTTATACTGTGTGCAGGACCTCCACCTAACCCAGGTGGTGTCTAGTCCCACCAGGGGTAG